GGGTCATGCCCGGGCGGGCGCCCGCCAGTGCCACCTGTGGTGCTCTGGACTGGTCTGTCTTCGACAAGGACCACGACCTCTTCCCGCGGGGAGGCTCCTCGCACTTCGAGTTCCCGGACTATTGCACGCCCGAGGTGACGGAGATGATAGCGGGGGACTGGCTCATGTCCAGCATCTCGGACTTGGTCTTTACCTACTGAGTCCCGCACTCTGCAGGTAATGCTTGTTTTTATTTTCACCCACAATCAGGTCAGATAAAAAAAAAAAAAAACAAACCAACAACCCAGGAAAAAAAAAAGAACAAAAAAAACAAACAAACCGAAACCAGCTGTTTACATGCAGGAATCAGGTATTTTGCCTTGAAGCTGCTGGAAGGCAGAGACCTTGCTCCCCCCCACCCCCCGGCACACACCCACTCCTCATCCGTCCGTCTGTCCGGCCCTCGCCTTGCGCCAGTGGGACGTGTGGCCGCCCACCATGGTTATTTGCCTGTGAAATGCGTCTCATGGGGCTTTCATTGTCACACCCGGCCACTTCCCCCCATGACCCCAGTGCTGCCGGCCATGGCTGCTCCCGGCCGCTCCCATCTCTGCCAGCACCCTGTGTCCTCCCACTCTCCAGGCAGCCGGAGCATCCACGCCACCCTGGCTCTTGGTGCCCATCCAACTTTCCCCATCCCTCGGGGAATGGCCGATTCCATTTGCTTTTTGACTGCATTTAACGCGTGACTTCAATTTTTCTCCTCTTCCTCGTTGCAGCCCTTGGGGAGGGATGCCGAGCCATGCAAAGCCCTCCCTTCCCGATGCTCTGTTTCATGGGGGATCCCTGGCTTTTGGGGGTTCGGTGTCCCACGGCACCTTCTCCTTCCCCGTGGCGCGCGCTCCCCGCCGCTTGCTTTGGGAAGAGTGAAGTTGCACGCACGTGACGCGCACGTGGGCGCGGGAGGCTGTGTTGTTCCTCTCGCCAGGCAGTTGTGCAGGGGAGGCTGTGCCATGGGGGGAACCCGTGCCCGGGGTCAACCCAAAATCTGGTGGGGATGAGCCCTTCCCAAAGGAGCCAGCCCTCATTTTTAGCCTTGGAGCCAGTGCCCGTGTAGGACCTGCTCTGGGCTGGCTCACCTTGGCTGGTGGAGAAGGGTCCCACCATGCCCGGCTGTGGTGGGTGGTGCTGCCAGGATGGCAAGGAGCAGCAGGGAAGGGCAGGGTGGCAGGAAGGGGCAGCTGTAGGGAAATCTGCCTTAAGCAACCACCCAAACGGGGCCAAGAGCAGCAGCAGTCGATGTCAGTGGGCGTGTGGGGTGTGGGTGATGCTCTGGCGCAGGGCTCCTCCACACAGCACCACGCTGAGCCCCGCTGCTGGCTGAGCTGAGAGCAAGGACATGCCGGCAGGGAAGGCGCTGCTGCAGCAGCTCCTCCAGCTGGGATTTTCTTTGCTTTTCCTAATGGCTCCTTCCTGCGACAGCCGCCTCCTCCCACTGCCGGGAGCACGTGGCTGCAGTGCTGGCTCGGCAGCTGCCGCAGGCTGTGGTTGGGGGGGCAGGGGCTGTGCTCGGGTACAGTGGTGCTGGGTGGGGACGTGGTTGTGATAGGGGCTGGCAGCGTCCTGAGGAGCTGTACTGGGTTCAGCAGCAACCACTGCTTGAAGCAGCCCCTGCAATCCCCCACGGCCCGTATTCCCCAGGAGCTCTGGGTGTGTAGGAGCCCCTGGGACCCCTCCTGGGCAGTGGGGTGCTGAGGGCAGCAGAACACCCGCTCTCTGGGGGCTCTGCCTCCCTGATTTGGGGCTGCTGGTTCTCCCGGTCACAGGCCACCCCGTGCCTGCCTGTTGCTGTCGGGCCGGATTGAGCTGTGACCAGGTGAAGGACATCCCCCTCCCAGGCCCTGGCATCCCCTCAGGCTGCCTTGGAGTCGGGGACCTGCCTGGCCCCACTGCTGGAGGTGCTGGTGGCCCTGGCTCAGCCACGGCACTGCAGCGCAGGGAGAGGCGTGTCCCTGGGCCCTTCAACTGGGGTGCTTGGTGTCCCCCAGCCCAGTCCTGGGTGGCCTGGGGGTCCCCTCGAGGCCCCCCCGATGGTCAGCCAGCCATCAGCAGTGTAGATGTGTCGGTGTGTAGCGGTAGCTGTGCGTGTGTGTTGGCAGTAGCCACGGTGTTTCGGTACCCCCGTGCGGTGCCAGCCTGCGGAGCCAGGCGGGCGTCACGCATCAGACACGTGTTCCCTGGATAGAGCGCATCCCCTTCCCTGCCTCCCCCCCGGCTGTTCCCCACTGGACTCAGACTCACCCCACAAAAGTGGAAAAGCCGAATAAGCGCCGGGACAGCCGTGATTCCGGCAGCCTGCTCCCACCTCACTGCCGCTTGGGGGGTTCTGCCTTCCACCCCCCGGGCAACCCCATGCCAGGAGCACCCGAAGCCCCCTCCCATGTGTGAGCCGGGTTTGGGGTTCCCGTGGGGTCCACCAGCCCCAGGACTCTCTGACGCACACAGATCTCACCCAGCACCTTGGTGCCTTCTTGGGGTGCACAGCCACCCCATGTTGTGACCAGGGGTTCTTGGGGAGGGCACTGAGGCTGACGGCCACCTGCCCTCCATCCCCAACCATGGGGAAGCCAAAGCCCCCAGGTACCAGCAAGGCCTGAGGCCACAGTGAGGGTCTCGCATCACATGTGTGCTTTGCTGACCCTGCAGCTCAGGGCTCAGCTCCCATTCTCAGCAGGGACACGGCTCTCGGTCGTCCCCTGCGTGCTGTGCATCGCCCTTGAGCTGGGGTGATCCCTCCACAGACTGTCAGGCAAAACGTTTCCTCAGGAGCAGGTTCTGGGTCAGTGCCAGAACTGGAGCCAGCGCCGGGGCCTCCCCTTCCCGGCTGCAAGCACAACACCATCTGCTTTGTCCCCGTCCCCCCTGTCCCCTTCCTCGAGTCTCGCCGGGTGTGTTTGTCAGGGAGAACCGTCGTGGACAGTGGTGGATTTTCTGTGCCGTGTGGTTGTAGTGCTTAGAGACCCCCCCCAGCGTGCGGCCCCCTCCCGCTGCGCCCCCACCTCCCCGCTGCCCGGTGCTGGCTGGCATGCGTGTGCGAGCGTGTGTGCGTGCGCGTGCGACATCCCGTCATCACTCCAGACAAAGCGAATAATAATAATAATAATAATAATAAATAGTAATAATGATAGTAATAATAAAAATAAACCAAACCTCTCTCAGGAAGCAGCCGCCCCGGCGGCGGCCGAGCGGGCCGGGGGTCCCCGGAGCTGGCGGGGCCCCAGCGCAGCCTGCGGACGGGCGCCAGCGCTCGGGGTCACCTTTGTAGTGTCGTGTTAGTGAAGGGTCCCTGTGTCTGTTGTCTTGGAGAAATAGGATTTTAGCTGAGGGGCAGTCGTGACCCCATCCGGGTGTGTGACGCGGCCGACTCTTGCTCTGCGGAACAGAACCTCGGCTAACAGTTATCCTGACTGTTGTGATTATGGAATAAAGTGTGTTGGTCTGCTCCCCATGGCTCTGTCTCCTTCTGTGCCAACTCACCCCCTCACAGGGGAATTTGGGGTTCCCAGGGATATGGGAGGTCCCCAGGGAGATGTGGGATTCCCGGTGGCCAGCATCCAGCTCCCAGCATGTCACCCTGAGCCGGGGTTTCCATGGGCTCCCACACGGGGTGGGGTTTTCACCCTCATCAGTCAGAGTGGGATGGGTCCCTGGGAGCAGTGTGAGCATGTGCATATATGTGCACGTATGTGCATGTGCACACACAGCCCCACCCACGTGTGTGTGTGGCAACCCCGACAGCGCCCCCGACTCTGTTCAGCCAGGGGGAAGGGGCTGGGTGGGGACACCGGGGGCACAGGGGAGGGAGGGGACCAGGGTCGCTAATCTGGTCCCGCAGCAGGGCCCGGGGGGATGGGGGGGGGCAAGGGGTCACATGCTGCTTTCGTCACACGCCCCCCCCCCTCACCCGCAGCTGTTGCCACGGCAACAAGAGGAACCCGGAGCATCCCCGGGTACCGCCAGCCCCTCCCATGGCCCCGATGCTGCTGGGGACCACAAGCTGTCCCCGGGGGATGGAGAGGTGCAGGAAGGTGCCCGTGTCCCAGTGACCCCATAAGTCTGCAGGCTGCACCCACCTGCAGACCACCCACCTGGGGTGGTGCCCACTCAGGCAGTGATGCTCCAGGATGGGGTGACTTCGCTTGGATCCCTGGCTGTGGGATCCAACTCCTGCCCAGGGACACCACTAGGAGCAGAAGGCACCGTGAGGCTGCTCCAGCCACGGTCATAGCTCCTGTTGCCATTGCCCTCCTGACCTTACCCAAGTCTGGGACCGTGCAGGATCAGGTGTCCAGTGCCTGGTGTCCAGCATGGCCTGCACAGGCAGATGCACACACTGCCACTTGCCTCACTCTCACTCATGTGGCAGTGGCCTCTTGGCTACCCCAAAGGTGCCACATACTTCGTCACTACTCCTCCTTCCCCCCCACTACCCAAAGGATGTCCCTCCCAAAGGGCTCCCAGCACTACTGAGGAACTTGTTCCCGGAGAAGCCACAGGGAACTAAAAATAACCAGCACGTCCAGCAGCCTCGAGCCATCCGGCCGAGCCCGCTCCCAGCCCGGCAGAAGCGGCTGCATCACCCCGGCTCAGCAGAGCCTGTCCTGGGAAGCGGGCACCGTGCCCGGGATCTCCTCCCACAGCCAGGCACCCGGCCCGGGGTGCAGGAGGGGCCGGGAGGTCAAGCTATTTACAGCCCCGTGCTGCTGATGGGGGGGGACACCCCGGAGAGCCGGTGACACACACAAGGCCTGGCGCTGGCCCAGAGGTGGGCGGATGGAAGGAGAACAGTGACCGGGGCACGCACGCGCCCTTTGGCTCTGCTCCTGCTCCTCTTCCCATGGGGCTGCTGGGTGTGAGGACATGCAGATCTGGCCTGGACACCACGGAAAACGTGCCAGCTCTGGGCCACAGGGTGCCACGACAGCAGATCTGGCAGCCCCGGCCAAGGGGAGGGCAGGAAGTGTGTTTAGTAACTGTTTATTTTACAGTTTCAGGGTTTGTAGAAATCCGCATTTACAGGGGGTGTGTAAGTCTTTGTACAGAGTTAAGTGAAGCACCCACAGCGACTGTCTCCTCCCAGGCCCTTCCTCCCCCGGGGACAACACAAGAACTAAAGTGCATCATGGCCAGGGAGTGGAGGGGCTGCAGGGGCTACCCCCGGGGGGTCCAGCCATCCCCTCCTTTGGGGCAGTGTACAGAGGGGTCTTGGGCCTTCCAGCAGCACCCCCAGGTCACCACACTCTCCTGCACCACCGGTTTCTAAAGTGCTAAGTGACCCAGCCCACTGTCCTGCTCTGGTGTTCCAGGGGGTGCTGAGGGGCCAAGAATGGGCTCTGCCTTCAGCCACGCCGTGAGGAGCCCCATGACCAGCCCTGGCTCTCTCCATGGGCACTGGCACCAGAGAGGAGAGGAAGGAACAGGCCTTGCTGCCCTGCCTGGACAAGGGCAGATTTATACCCTCCAGATTTCACCTACAGAGAACTGCAAGTTCTGCAAGAGAACTCCTGCTCAGAGCCTCATGGGAACACAGGTCAGGAATGACGACTGCACACCTGCCCTCTGGCCAGAAAGGCACGGCCCCTCCATGAGTGAGGGCTCACGGGGCAAACCAGAACATACCCAGGGCAGTTATGGGCCAACAGGCAGTGGGGTGGGACAGGGGGGTGCTGAGCTTTGCAGGGCATGAGTTTCCTTCTCCATCCCTAAATCCTTAACTCTTCAACCAACACCTCCTTTTCAGGTGTGCAGCCCCTGGGCACGGCACAGATGGCTTTGGGCACAACAGAGCAGTGATGGGGAAGCGGGAGGGAGCTGTGAGAGGCAGGTAAGGGCACTTGAGGGAGGTTTAGCAGCTCGGGGGAGAGGTAGAGGCATATAGTGTCTATTGGCTTTGTCTCAGTGGGACACCAAGTTCTCTAGGAGGATTTGCTGCTTAGCTTGGAGGGCAGGGAGTGCTGGGACTCCCAACGGGGCTGTGATGCTGAAGCCTGATCAACTTGTGGGGGAGGTTTATGACACATTTCCTACTGCAATGACTTCTGTCCTGTGCTAAGTGTTTCACAAGGTGGAAAAAGCCTTTCTCCATGTTAGTGCCCACTTCCAGAGCTGGTAAAGAAGTCTGCAATATGTGTCCACAGTACCACTAAGACTTGTGGTGATGTGACCTAGCACATGACAACACACAGCCTTGGCAGGGCAAGCACACTTGTGCCTCACCTCACTGACCCCAGATAAGATCATGGTACTGCCAGCACAGGAGCAGCAGTGCCCAAGAGCTGAGCTAAGGTCTGCTCCTGTCCCCTGCCCTCCTCTCCCATAAACAGATCAGGCTGCAAAGATGAGGAAGCAAAAAGAGCCAGGGAGTGTTACACACTGGAGAGAAGCTCATGGCGTGGCGCTGACGGGGGTGTGTGAAAGGTTGGGCTCTACTCAGAGGGTGCCTACAGGACAGGGAAGGGCTGGAGCACCAGCAAAGCTGAAGGCAGATCGCAGAGCACGCTGGAGCAATGAGGAGCCGAAGGGCTGCCCTGTTCCTCACCAGTGCAACAGCCCTTCAACCCCACACATGCACACAGCCAGGCCAAACCCTGCTGGGACACTCTCTTGCAGGTTCTCACTCCCACTAATTTTCCCCAGTGGAGAACACAGGATCATTTCGGCACAGCCCACACACAGCTCTCCCTTTGTACAGTCACCTGAGCACAGCCTGAACAGCCAGACTTGTCCGTACCTCCGGTTCTTCCCGGGTCGGCGGCAGTGCCTGTCTGCTCACCCCTGCACGGGGAGAGGGGAACAAGGTGAGCACGGTGTGGGGAACCGTCCTGCCAGGCTGGTTCCCTCAGTCTCTGTCACAAAGGCCAAAAGCGTCACTGGACGCAGCAAGAATAAAAAATAATCTTCAGGCAGGTCGTTTCCGGACATGTCCTCCCATCAAACATCAGCCCTCCCCACCAGGGAAGGACGTCGTGACAGGGAAGGCCATTCCTCTGGATTCAGGGGAAAATCTGCAGTTCAAACTTGGGTGCCCACTCCAGTGCACTCTTCACCACAGCCAGGGCAGCTGCTCCCAGCGCCACCGTCAGCCCCATCACTGCCAGCTTGACAAAGCGGTTGGTCCGGGGCTTTGTCAAGATGGATTTTGTCCGCTCCTCCCCTCGGAGCCGCTCCTCCCCTCGGAGCCGCTCCCTGAAGCGCTGCCTCAACACAGTGTCTGGTCTCTGCTGCACTGATGCCAACTCAAAGTCCTTAAAAGTGGAAGCCGCAGTTCTGCAAGAGGAGGAACAGGTTAAGCAGTGTCCCCAGCTCGCCTCAGGGACCAGCCTCCGGCCAGGGAGGAAGATCTCCATGAGGAAGCAAGACCTGGCAAGGGGATGTAGGGCTCACAGGGGCTGGCTGGCACTCACCGTTCCGCCTGCTGCTGAGCTGCCTCCTTGGCGAGTTCAGATGGTGGGAACTGGACAAAAAGGTCTCCAGCTTTGCTGATCAGAGACTCGTAAGGAAGGTCCTGTGGGATCTGGGACAGGAGGTGGTGGACAGAGGCCATGTCACACTCGCACTCCAGAACTTCCTGCTGCCTGTGCAGCACGATCTGCAGAGAGGAGTGAGGACAGATGAGGAAATGGGGACAACTCCTTGGCACACACACTGGCACTTGTTTCAGAGCCAGAAGAGAAAAACATTTCACTTCCAGCTGAAAGACCTTCTTCAAGAGGATACACTGCAGTGAAGCATTCACTGGCTGGGAAGAGAAATGCCAAACCCTTCCTTAGACTCTGAGGCCATGGAAAGCCTCTTTCAGGACAGTTAGGTCTGTCTGCTGAGCAGAGCCTGTTATTGGCAGGCCAGAGCCACAGGCAGAACCTCAGCAGGGCTTGTCTCCACAATTTGCCCTCAGAGATTTGTTTGGATCCCCCATAGGAGGATGGGAAGACGGATGCACAATACAGGGCTGTCTCCAGCCAGCCAGCATGTGCCCAGAAGCAGGGTCAGCACATGAAAGCAAAGAAAAACGCTGTGCCACGCTGCCTCCGTGGCACTGAATTACCCCAGTCTGCACATCTGGACACCTCCAGGCTGCTCCAAGTTCCCCAGGATCCCACTTGCCCTCTGCCATCACCAAGGACTTCACTGGTAGGGTGCAGCTGGGGACAGCACTCGCACTGGGTTTGCCAGCCCCCCTGTGCAGCCCCAAACTCCCACCACCTCAGAACGGTGCAGTTAATCCCTGACCCTTTCCAACAACACCTACCACAGCAGCAAAATAAATGGGCATCAGCGGGTGGCAAGCCAGGAAGAAGTCATATAATCGCACGACGTGCCGGAAGTCAGACAAAACGTGTCCAAACCAGGTGATCAGCCAGCTGAGAGCAAAGATGGTTCCCACCTCCGCACTGCGGAGAGAAAGGGCTGTTAGGTCAGCCTGGAAACAAAGGGCTCCGGACTGGCTCTTCCCACTCACCTTCCTGCTTCTGCTTTGATCTGCCCAGACAACACTTGGGAGTCCCTAATGCAAAACCTGGGAATTATCCCCAAAACTAGCAACAAACTACACCAAGGTCCCACCAGCCACACAAGTGGGCATGTGAAGTGGTTGTGGCACTTTGGACAACACTCTCCCCAAATTCCCCAGCCTTTCCAATATGGACTGCAGACCACTGGGATGAAGATGGCACCACATATAAACCCTCCATACAGGCAGCACAGGTTTGGTTCTGCTCTGAAATGAAGTGCCACATGGCTCTGGAGTGTCACTATTGGCTGTGGAACAGTTGTTGACTCCCTGAGGAAGCCACTATGGTGGTAACCCAAAACTGGTAGCGGAAAGCCAGGAGGCTCTGAGGGAAGGTCTGTGTACCTCTGCATGAAGTCGTGCACCTCAGGGTTCACCTGGTCTATGATGGGCATCAGGTAATTTAAAATGTGCTTGGTATTATCCATCGTTGGGTCCATAAAATCCCTGAGAAAAGATTTAAAAGAAGCTTCGTCAAGCAACCATGTCAGCGAGCTCTCCCTCCAGGGAGGCAGCAGAAGGAAAATAAATGTAAGTGCAATAAACAGCCTTGATGGCAAGGTGGCCCCCGGCCCCAAGGAATTCTGTCTCTTTGGGACAGCCTCCTTCCTGCTTGTCTGGGACTCACAGGGCTGACCCGCACAGAGAACGCAGATCCAGACCATCACACTGCTGTCAGCTGACAATTCTTATTTTGCTTCAGTGCACACATGAACTGTAAAGCCCTTCCAGCACCCAAAACCTGATTCCCTGCCTGGGAGAGGAGGGAGAATCCCTCCAAACCACACCTCCCAGATGGAAGCTTGCTTTCATTTCAGTGCACAAATAGCAGAGACACTGCCCAGGTACAGACCACACTGCCCAGGGCTGTGCAAGGACAAGTGGGAGGCACGGTGCTGAGCCAGCCCCCAGGACCTGGAGAGGCCCTGACAGCCACAAAACCATGAATAATGCATGTCAGTTGGCTTTTCCAGCTCCAAGAGATGCTACAAATTAACTGACAGCCTTCAATTATCCCTTCCCCAGGGCATAGCTCCCTGCAAAGCTGTCCTGTGGTCAGGCTGCTCTCACAGCACCCCTCCAGGTACAAGCATGACAGGCAACTGCTTTAACCCAAGGCTCTGCCTTCCCAGCTCCCCTTCCAGGCCAGCTCCACCTGCACAGGTGTCCCCACAGCCTGGGGACACGCAGGTGACTCCTCTCCTCCCGCTGAGTACCTGAGATGATGCGTTGAGAGCTTTTCCACCAGCGCCGTGGCCAGCCTGTCCCCCACCACCAGGAGGAAGGTGACCACGATGTCATGGTAGCCCTGGTAGTAGTGCAGCTGGGGGTTCCGCTTGAGGACGTGGAGGATGATATCGATGAGCTCCTCCTGCAGTCCTTCCCTCTGGTCATCTGGCATCCCTGTGGGGACAGTGCCAGGCAGAGGTGGGACAGCTGTGCCACCTACCAGTGCCTGCTGTGGGAGCGAGGGCGGCTGTGGTGTGCAAGGAGAGCACCTGTGAATTTGCCAACCCACCCGATCCCAAGGGAAGTGTTGCACAGGAGAGGGCAGTAAAACTGGCAGAAAAAAATATCCCAAGTCCTAATCCTGCCTCCCAAAACTCTGCTGGCCTGGGGAAGTCAACCAGTGGTTAAGGTGTTTAATCTTCAGAGCTGCAGAGGCCCTACCTGCGAGGAAGCCACCGTGGAGGATGGGAGCAGATTTTACTGATGTTTGTACAGTGCTGCTGTGAAGAGCAAACTGAGCTGTGCATCCAGCATTGCTGAGGACATTTGAATCATTTTTAATTTCCCAGGAGTTCTAGAAAAAAATTCAGCAGGACCCATTTTCACAGAAACTGTGCCAGCTGCATCAGACTGTGAGGCCTCCACCGGCACAACTTTCTATCAGTCCCCTGCCAACAACATGTGTTTAGGGACAGGATGTCGCAGGGAAAACATTGTTCCTGTCCTGCACAGCTGCAGACAGTTTCTGGCAGTCCTTGTCAACAGATAAAATGCCCAAAGGCCAAGCAGAGAGTCCCAGTGGAGATCCTGCAATGACAAAGTTCTCCTTTTCCTCTGCTTCACTGATGCGGCTAAAAATAGTCAGGAGGCTGCCATTCAAGGGCAAAAAAATCTGTAGGAGCAGAGCCTTCAGGAATCAGGCCTGCACACAACATCCACGCTCGCAAGAGAACCACAGTGAATCAACTGTTTACACAAAATAAGAGTGGCAGGAGGGGGGAAGCAGATTCTGGCCAGAAATAACGATTGCTCTGCACAGAGAGCTGCTGGATTCAATGTTTTTATAAATAACACAAAAAGGCAACAGCCTCCCATTAGAGCTAAACAACTGCAAAACCGTTTCGCTTCTGAATGTTCTGAATGTTCTATTAAATTTGGTGCAAGAACCTGATTTTCAGGCTGTTTTACAGCAGGAATTGTTCTAAGCACTGACAAACCTGCCTTCCATGCCCCTGAGCTAGACCATGGCTAAAATAAACTGAAGCAAGGACACGTTTCTCCATCTGTCCTAATTTCAGCTGGTGAGGGGGGCAGGATCCGTGCAGGATCTGAACCCTCTGTGCTGCAACTGTCTGCTGGTAGCAGCCTGTTGGCAGAGGGGCTCAGCAGGGCAGGGGAAGTGGAATGTTGGAAAAGCCACATCAAAAACCATCTGTGCAGAGGCAGCTGAAGGAAACTGATGGCTGCAGAAGGGCTCCACTGCAAGAAGCAGCTGCTGTGAGCTCACAAAGAAAAGGCTTTCTAGAAGTCAGGCTTTTGGAGCAACAGAGTGTCACCTTCTGCAGCCTCCCAGTGAAGTCTGAGCCAGGAGGAGCCCCCTGGCATTGATCTTGCCCCCAGAGAGTGGGAAGAGCAGAGTCCCCCCTCACCTGGCGGGAAGCGGCGCAGGGATCGCCGCACGTCCAGTAACACTTGCTGGTAATCCTTGTTGTCCTCTCGCAGCTCCTTCCCTGCTGAGAAAAACAGGAATAGGATTAACACTGAGCAGTGCAAAGGAACTGGGGAGAGGGGTGAGGGAGCGAGGAGGATGAGGCTGCACCCCCCCACACCACCCTTTTATCATGTCACACACCAGCCCTGTCCCCACACTCGCACTGCCACACACTCTGACACCAACAGCAAACGAGACAATTATTTCTTCAAACAACATATGTTAAAATTCTCAAACTGACAGCACTCCCAGCATTCCCAGGAACATCCCAGCTCCACAGTTTTGCTGTGCAATTCAAAGCGTACTCAGCTGTAGGAAGGGAAATGAACTGTGGAGACCACAATTAATAATTTATTAAACAGAAACAATTCAGAAGAAAACCCCACCCAGGGGTAGCTAAGACAGTTATAACAGAAAAGTTCAGTGAGCCAGCAAATTCTATCTATGCGATCATGTGAAGTTAAACGTTGTCTTCCAGCAGCTCTGGTCACCTCACATCACCCCTCATGTCACCCAGCTCTTGACTGAGGTGAAGGCACGCTTCCAGATGGCCACAGATTCAGGAACAACAAGAAAATCTGTCCTGGGGGCGGCAACTGTAAAAGCTACAGGAGCTCCTGCATTGCTAAGGTTTAAAAACCATGTGGTTATTTCACCAGGAAGGTCATTCTCCCTGCATCTGCTCCGACCAAACACCACACGTGCTTCACACAACAAACTGCTTCCTGGGAGAGACACCTCAGGAGGATTTTGGCCAAGCCAGGGCTCAGCACAGCCACCTCTCCATGGGAACAACACAAAGTAGGTCTGATTTTTCTGCTCTAGGTGAACTCACACATGCCAGCTAATGCTGGCCACGCTGACCGCATCCACAGTCGATTTCCGTTGCTGTCACTAAAGGTAACAAATGTTGTTTTTAGGAAGTCTTTTCCAAGCCTGCTGTTTACACACAACACTGCGTTCACGCTGCAGTGAGTGCCCTTTTCACATGAGCTTGCTGGGAAACACACCAGCACACGCAGGGAAAAGGCAGGTCAGAAAGCAAGTCCTTCCTCTGGTGACAAAGGTCACCGGGCCGTTCTTCCCAAGCACCCGAGTGTGTTCCGCACCTGGAAGAGGGGGCAGGTCGTCTGTGTTGACACTGAGCAGCTTTGGCCACACTTTGCACCGGATCTCGTCCGTGAGGAGCCCGCCCTCGCTGATCGCCATCCGCCTCAGCGCCGCCACGTCGATGGGGTCACTGTTCAGAGCCTGGTAAATCTCTGCCACCTTTCTTTTCTTCTTAGCATCGAAGTCTGCAGGGAGATCACAGAGATGGGAACTGACAGGCAGTGCCTGCACACGGCGCCAGCGAGTAACAGCCACTCACAACAATGTCACACACACAAGGGAGATGACACAGGGCAGTTGTCACTGTCACATGCCCTGCCGGGCCAGGACTGACCCTGGCGGTGACTCTCCAGCTGAGTGTTCCCATCTCTGCAGGCTCAGCATCGGGGGCACCTCATAGCCCAGAACTGCTTCCCTATGAACCCCTGTGGGAGGCCAATGCTGCTCCTCCTGACATGGGAGCCACCAGCACTGCCCAAACAGCCTCAGCTCCCTCTTCCCCAGCGGATCACAGTTCCACACAGGGGACAGGGACAGCCCTGCAAAGCCATCCTGCAACTGTTTGCCCTCTGACGTGGCTGCCAGCTCAGGTATCAAGTGTTTCCTAAGAGCAGGACTTAGGGAAGTGTTCTAAAAAGATTAAGGACAGCGCTCCCAAAACTGTGTTCCTACCGACTCCTGGGTGCAGCCATCCTAGGGAGAGGCCTGAGCATTTCCACAGACACAAGAAAGGACATTGTTATACCAGAGTTAACCAGTCACGAGCATGTTGACTTCTCTTCCAACAAACACAAACCTGCCAGCTACCAGTACACACAGCTTAGCCAGCAGAAAACAATTCCCACTGTTTTGAGGAGCACGGGAACTCGGGGCAGGGAGGTGGGAGGGGGTGACACACAAAGCACACGGTGCTGGGGATAGACACACTTACAGGACACGAGAGCGCTGCCCAGGGAGCGGAGAAGGGACACTATTTCACACCACATGGTGGAATTTGTCACCGCTGCCTCATGTGAGGAAGGAGAGAGGCGGCCGAGAGCCACCCGATATCCCACACTGGAGGAGTTCCCAGCAAGGAGGCTCTGCTGAGCAGCTGCGAGGCTGGAGCACAGGATGAGGCCACAAACACTGCCTCTCCCCAAAGGCTTTTCCCACAGATGCAACGACTCTTAGGCTCCAAATGGGATTCGCTCGATAAAGGGACGTGTCCAAATAGGGTTTGGGGTGGGAGGAATTAAAAGGATTCCGATGGAGAAACAGCTGTTTCCCAAGGCCGCGCCCTCCCGGCAGCGATCAGGGAGCGCTTTCCTCTGCCCACGTGGCACCTCAGCGCTGCCCCGGCCCTCTCCCTGCGAGATCCTGGCTGGAAGTGCCGCTCTCCGCGGGGTCCGGAGGGAGCCGGCGGGTCGCCAGGCTGCTCAAGCACACGGGCGATAAGTAGGTCGAGCAATGGATGCTGTTCCCTCTCAAAGACCCTTTTTAAACACTTCTTGGATCAAAACAAGCTGTAACAGCCTAGGACAGAGCTCCACCTCCCTCCGAATTCCAAGTTCCTGGTAACGTTGAATCTCCCATCGTTTACCCAGCCAGTACAGTTTCCTTTTATTTCCTTTCCCGCCCCTTGAGCAAGCAGAGTTATTTGCACAACAGAAGCCAGCTCTGCTCGTCCGGTTCCCTATTCCCAGCCAGTTCCCCACCCCCAGTTGTTCCCGATCCCCTGCCACACACTGGGCTGTCATATCCCTGTCATATCCCGACGTCTCGGGAAGGAGAAGACAAAGCCTGTGGGAGACAAAACTCCTGTTCACACACAAAGAACTTGAGGAGTAGTGGGGAGGAAGGAGCGCGTCTTGCGGGCTCCTCTTCTCGGGCTTACTGACAAATACCCCAACGTTTACACTTTTCAAAGGTAGGGCTGCAAGTATTAAAAAAAAAAATGTATTTCAAAACATGTTTTGTGCAGGCAGAAGACCTTAACTGGCAGGTTCATACTTGGAGATGAGGGCGCGGGGTCTTTATTGTCCCGAAACTCGGACTGGCCAGTCCCAATCCCGGGTGGGTCTGTCGGTGCTCCTGCAGCCAAAGGCAGCGCGAGGAGCAGCGCTGCGGGCACCGGGCACCGACACCAGGCCGGGCCAGCCCCGGCGCTGCCGCAGAGCCCCCGCTCACTGCCGGGAGCGCCCGGGGACCCGGCTCGGCTCAGGCAGCGCCAGCCGCGCCCGGCCGCTCCCGCCCGCCCGAGCCCGCGGCGACCGCAGAGCCGCGGAGCGGGCCGGGCCCTTCGCTCGGGCCCCGGGCCCGCCCGGATCCCCCGGGACACCCCCGGTTCTCCCGCCGGGGCGAGAGCGGCACCGGCCCCGCCCCGCCGCCAGGGGGCGCCGCCGCTCCCACAGGGGGCGC